CCCCCCATCATGCACAAAGAAATGGAAGGGCGCCTGGGGGGCTCAGTTGGTTAAATGTCTGACTTCGGCTCCAGTCTGTGATCTCACGGTGTGTGGGTTCGAGCCCCGCGTCGGGCTCTGTGCTGACAGCTCAGAGCCTGGCGTCTACTTCGGATTCTGTGTCTCTCTCTCTCTCTGACCCTCCCCCATTAGCACTCTGTTTCTCAAAAATAAATAAATGTTAAAAAATTAAAAGAAAAAAGAAATGGCTAGCTCTCAATGGAAAAAGAAAATATTAGTTGCTATGGCCTGAATGTTTGTATCCCCCCCCCCCAATTCATACATTGAAATCCTAACCCCCAAGGTGATGGTGTCAGGAGGTGCTTAGGATGGAGCTCAGGGATTAGTGTCTTATTACAGAGGCTTAAGAAAGGTTCCTTGCCCTTCACCACGTCAGGACGTGGCAAGAAGGCGTGTCAGTGAACCCCGAAGCAGGCTCTCACCAGACACCCAGTCTGCCAGCATCTTGGTCTCTGACTTCCCAGCCTCCAGAACTGGGAGAAGTCGATCCTTGGCACTTATTAGCCACCCAGTTTCCAGTATTTTGTTACAGCAGCCGGAGAAGATACTAGATTTTAACTGCTCACTTGCCTGCCACCAACTTAAACTCTTAGAGTGCTCTAGACTAGTTTAAACATGTTTCCTCTCTCAACCCGCTTTCGATTTTCCCCCAGGGGACCTTAGGCAATGCCTGGAGACATTTTTGATTAGCACACCTCCTGGGGAGGGGGCGTAGCCAGCCTCCAGTGGGCAGAGGCCAGGAATGCCACTCAACATCTTAAGATGTACCAGCCAGCCTCTTATCAGACACCGTCCGTAGTGAGAACGCCCGCCCTGAGCACATCATTCTGTACGTGAAGCATCGTTATCCTCCTTCCGTTTTTAGAGGAACCTTAAATAATACGCCAGGACTTGAGCCGTAGCCTTTTTGTTCTTCTTTTCCCCCGTGGAGGAGACGTTAGGATGGAGAGTCCGGGGGATGGGAGAGGGAGGGGCGGACGCACCTTCCGTCCGACCGCGCAGAAGAGCGCAGGGGGCTGGCTGGGCTTTCCGAGCCCCTTCTCCGGCGTGTCCTCAGGACTCTGCCTCGCCCACCACCTGCCATGCGCCACCACCATGTGCCACCGCAGGCCCGGGATTTATCTTCTCTCTCTTTGCACCCAAGGTAATAGCAGTAGCTGTGAAAAGAGGCAACCGCGTACTGATAAGACTCCAGGCACTTTGGTTTCTTGTCTTAATTACCTTCCTAATTTGCACTTTTGGTGGAACACCTGGGGTGTGAGCACCAGTCGGCAATTTTTTCCTCCGCTCCTTCTCCACCCAGCAGGTTCTTTCTACCATCTGTTGATCTTAAATATCTGCCTTAATTCTCTTCTTTATGTTCGTTCCACGCTTGTAATTTATCTTGGTCCCTCATTAGCTTCTCCATTCCACCTTCAGACGAGGTAGCAATGACGTTTCTTCCCCCCCACCCCCACCCCCAGCACCTGCCCTTCCCCTGGCAGTGGGAAACGGCTTGGCCCCCCTCCCAGGTTAGCTTATGCTGGTGGAGGACGGACCCACTCATGTGCGGATCATCACAGAATGTTCCCGCACTGTTGGCCCAGGAACAAGGTGGGGGCAGAGGGACTGCGCATTCACGTTGCTCCAAACCCCATCGGGGTACGGATTCAGATGCCAGCCCTTGCCACCCACACCTGGGAGAAAAGCCACAAGCGCGGGTCGGCAAATGGGTGGGGGCCGTGGGGGGGCCTGGCTCTGCTTCTCGAGGCTGTGTCCCTTCGGGCAGATGCGTTTTTCCCCCCCGCCTTAACTGGGTACCCCCCTGCCAACCTCCCAGAGCTACTGTGAGTCCAAGTGCTGGGGCTTTTGCTAAATAACCAGAAGGGGTTAGTTTGCTAATTAATATAGGTTCTGTTGCTCTGGGCTGTGCTATCATTTACATTACAGTGACTGATTAGAGCAAAATCTGTAACAAAAGAGCCAACCAGCTGTTGTTTATACTTTAGAAAAGCACATTTTTTTTTCAAAGGGAGAGAGATGCCCCCTGTGATGTTATAAAACACCCACTTAGTCCCTTCCCAGCTTTTGACCCCTCTCCCCAGTGGGCCAGGGGTCCCTGGTGAAGTTCTTTGTCTTGAAGACCCACAGTTACCTCTGAGAGCAGGCTGAGGTCTTGGCTGTGTGGGCACAAAGGATGAGAACAGCAGATTTGGAAACACCGGACTCTGAAGGTAGGAGACTGGCCGAATGGAAGAAGCATCTGAGATGCCCTCCAGCTTTCTGGTCTCATGACCGTGGGCACAGGCAGCCCCTGGGATTCAGAAGATGCACAGAATAGGGGCTTCCTCCCCGCCCTGCTGGAGAGGATGCCTGGGGCCCTCAGGCCCGGCCGTCACAGCCCGCCCTGAAGTCCAGCGCTCACCCATAGTCGGCACCTCACTAGGACTTTCCTCCTTTCTGCAGCTTGTCACATGCATTGGGCAAACCCAGCAATGGTGACCATGCATCCAACCCTCTCCCTGGGGTTGTGCTTTCCTCTCCACCCTCAGAGGGCATTTCTGAAAGAGAAGACTAAGGAACATGCAGCCATCGAGAAGGAAGAGCCTAGACCTCAGAGCCAGAGCTCAGCTTGCCTCTCCCACTGGCTCCCCCTCACCTGTCCTCCCTGATGGGGAGCAGAGGTGACGAGTCCCACCTTGACTTCATGTATAAGGCTTATAGCCCAGTGTGTGGCAGACAGAGGGCCACCAGACCCCCATTTCTCAAAAGAAAGACCACCAAGAGACTGAGATCTTGAATACAAGGCCTGATTTAGAGCCAGAGTCATCACAGAGGGAAGACTTAATGCATGAAGGCTCAGCCTTTGTTAAAAATTTACATCAGGAGCCTGGGGCTCTGGGCTGGCAGCTCAGAGCCTGGAGCCTGATTCAGATTCTATCTACCTCTCTCTCTGCCCCTCCCCTGCTCACTCGCTCGCCTCTCTCTCTTTCTCTCAAAAGTGAATAAATGTTAAAAAAAAAAAAGAATTTACAAAAAAAGGGAGCCTGGGTCACTCAATCAGTTTTGACTTGACATGTTTGACAATTAAACATCCGACTTTAGCTCAGGTCCTGATCTCACAGTTTGTGGGTTCGAGCCCCACGTCAGGCTCTGTGCCGGCAGCTCAGAGCCTGGAGACTGATTCAGATTCTGTGTCTCCCTCTCTCTCTCTCTCTGCCCCTCCCTTGCTGATACTCTGTCTCTCAAAAATGAATAAATGTAAAAAAATTTTTAGAATTTATATCAGGAGACTTACCAATTATATAAAAATCGATCAATCTTTAAAACCTCGATTCTGAAGCATGTGGTTGCTCTGGCGGTATTGAATGGCCGGCCACTTCAGCCCCAGACCCTGGTGGAGCAGGGTCCCGGGGCTTCTCAGCAGCTGGCTCTGGCGTGTGCCAGGCATGCTGGGAGGGGGCTGTCTGCCATCTGGTTTCGGAAAGACCTCCCCCTCACCCCCACCCCCAGCCAAACCCATAACTTCTGAGTCTAGCCCTGGCCCAAGAGTCATGCCATACGATCTCTGGGGTTTCCTCTACCTCCAAAGTCCTAGGATTCTGTATCTCATCATTGGTCATTATGAGGCATATGGGAAGATATTTGGCGGAGGATCAAAATCCCAAATTCTCAACCAGTGATCTCCAGTGGCTACAGCCACCCCATAGACCCCCACAGGGGATTGAAACACAAAGGGTTAAGGTGAGGCAATAAAAAGAGCCCTTTATACCTTAGCAGGGTGTTAGGGTCTCTTGGTGAACCAGGCTGGATAATGGGTGAGCTCTTACCCTTTAACACGGGACAAGTTTGAGCAGATCTTTTGTCTCCAGCTGCCTCCAGGACTCACCATCACAGGCCCTCCCCAGCTAAAGGGGACACAGAGGATAAAAGTGGCATTTCAAGGAGACAGTGACTCCCAAAAGAAGACAACCCCTTCTCACTCAGAAGATTTTCCCCTCTTCCCTCTTTACGACAAAAAAAAAGTTCCTCCTGGCCCCGAAAGTGCTTGGTCTTGATTCTGGTCAGTATTGGTAGTTCTCATTCCTGGTATGATTCAGAGGGGTCTTTAAACTCTCCCATAGATATCAGAAAATGTCTTAACATTACGGTTCTGCCCCACTGGCCCCACGCCACTGGGACAGTTCCATTGTTTTCCATAACCTTTCCTTCTCCATCAGATACTTGTAGGCCAGTAGTGTTCTTCCTCATTTGATCAAAGTCAGGGTATTGGTTGCCTGGGCAGGCTTACTAGTCCCTCTGGAGAGGACCTGGGGAGTCATTTTGTCCATCCCCACGCTTAAGCTAGGCTGTTGCCATACCATCTCAGAGTAGACTGTAACAGTCCACCATTTCAAGATGGCTCCTCAAATGTCTGGGAAGACATCTCTGGGCCCCTGCATCAATCTTGGACTTCTTGTTGCATGAGCTAAATAAAACCCTATGTGTTTAGCTTAGGAGTCCGTTATCGAGCTCTTTCAGTAAAGGGCCAGACAGTAAATATTTTAGGTCTGTGGGCCATATGTTCTCTGTCACACCTACTCATCTCTGCTGATGTAGCGCGAAAGCAGCCACAGACAACTTGTCAACAAATGAGCGTGGAAGTGTGCCAATAAAACTTTATTTGTGAACACTAAAATTATGTAACTTTCATGTGTCATGAAATACTATGCTTTCTTTGATTTTTTTCCCCCCAGTTATTTAAAAATGTAAAAATTGTTCTTAGCTTACAGGCCATACCAAAATAGGCAGTGGGCTGAATTTGGCCCCCAGACCATGGTCGGCCAAGCCCGGATTTAAACTCCAGTCATGTGGGTTTTCTGTTACTGGCAGCCTAGTGTGGTCTTGCCTGACACAGTGATGGTAATGAACCCTATTCGAAAATTGCTCCTGACCCCTCATGCTTTTTCGTTCTGTTTCAGAGGGTCTTGCTGTTGGCGTTGGATTTGGGGCTGTAGAAAAGACAGCGTCCGCCACCTTCGAGAGTGCCAGGTAAGCCAGCACCTGCTCCTTAGAGCCTGGCACTGTACCCAGTGGTGCTCCGGTAATGCATATTACCTTGATGGGCACCCTCAGCTCCAGAGGGTCCAGACTGGTGGAAGTAGGGTGGGGGGAGGTCAGGTGAAGCTTATCTGAGAGAGGGATTCCATCAAAGAAGCAGGTTCACCGTTTGTCAGATGAGCTATCTAATGGGTAACCACTTTGAAAACAATGTGGATATAATCATCTGTGTTCCCCAAATCCTTTAAATGTATAAAGACTAAAGGCATGGGCAACTGGGTGGCTCAGTCGGTTAAGTGTCTGACTTTGGCTCAGTCATGATCTCTTAGTCCATGAGTTCGAGCCCCGCACTGGGCTCTGTGCTGACAGCCCAGAGCCTGGAGCCTGCTTGGGATTCTGTGTCTTCCTCTTTCTCTGCCCCTTCCCTGCTCCCATTCTCTCTCTTGTTCTCTCTCTCTCTTTCAAAAATAAATAAGCATTAAAAGAAAATTTTAAAAAATAATTTTAAGATAAAGACTAAAGACAAAAATAAAATTTAACAAAGCCAGCAACTGATGCTCTCCACTGCTCCCTCTTTTTGAAGTCCCCCTTTCTCTTTCAGGGCCCTGCACCCCCTGGCTCCCCGCTTCCTGTCCCTCTGCCATTCTCTTGCAGGTTTCTCATCCTGAGGCCCTTTATGAAATGTTCATGTTGCCCAGAGCCCATCCCTGGGGTTCCTTTCTTCTCACTCAGGGTGCTCTCCTTGGGGAATCTGCTCCATTCCCAACCAAGACTTTTATGTCAATCTGCTGGTGATGCCAGCGTTGATCTTCAGCCTAGACTGTTCTCTGGAACTTAGGCCTACGGGTCCAGCTACCTTGCAGACATCTCCACTCAGATGTGTCTCAGGACCCCCACACTTGGCATTTCCAAAGTTGAGCTCATTTTCTCCATCCGCCATCCGGCAGAACCTGCCCCTCCTCCCACATTCCCCATCGCCACCTTGCGCCCCTTGACCAAACCGAACTCACCGCTATCCTCGACTCCTCATTTCAATAGACGATCTTCCCATAGACAACCTGTGCCTTCTAAGTTCTTTTTCCTTTCCACCTCCCTGGCATTCCACAGGGCCCAGGTAAGGCTCCAGCCTTGGGACCACGGAGGGGCTTATCTTGTAGCCATCATGGCAATGGGTTCTACGTGGTCTCTCATGCCTGCAAAACCAATACTGCAGCCTCCAGGCTGGAGGAGAGCAGGGAGGAGCCTTTCGTCCAAGGGTGGCAAACTCAGGCCCCTTCGGAAGACCAAGGGGCAAGAAACTGAGTGGACACCAGCATCGGCTGGAGACGGTTGGGAGTAGTAAGGACAGAGGAGAACCTCAACTGGGCAGCACATGCACTATCTCAAGGCACAGTTCTGACCCCTGCATCTAGCTCATTTCTCGGCCTTCTGACTGACGCAATCTCAAAATAGACTTTCCCCCCATGGCAATGGCCCCACCCGCTTCAGTGATGGACCCGGTTTCTATTCACCCTGCGTGTCAGGAAGTCATTTCTCACAGAGCTTCTCTCCTTCTCGTCCTCAGCTGCTGAACTTGCATGAAGCCTCTTTATACCCCATCCCCTCCTTTTAGCCGTTCCCTCAGCCAATGCGGCACCCCTGTATGTTAAGTGTAGTCTCTGCCGGGCTTTATTTTTTATTATTTTTAAAAAAATGCTTGAGGGAGGGAGGGGCAGAGAGAGGGAGAGAGAGAGAGAGAATCTCCAGCAGACTCTGTATTCAGCATGGAGCCCGACATGGGGCTCAGACCCACGACCCCAAGATCGTGACTCCAGCCGAGGTCAAGAGTCGGGTGCTTAACCAACTTAGCCACCCAGGCGTCCCTCTGCAGGTCTTCAAATTCTAATACATGTTCAAGGTCATGTGTGCTTCTTGAAGGCCCAGACGCGCGTGGGGGCTGGCATGTTCTAAGTCAAAATTTCCCCTGTTCTTAACTCCTTATAACCGCCTGTCAGACCTGGTGGGTCATTCGAGCAGGTCGATGGCGGGTGGGGATGGGGGGACTTCATAATGTCAAAATGTCGCCGAAATCAAGGGTTAATTGTGATTCGTAATGCCCTGCGGGCTGCTCTTCTCGAGCTGGGAGAGGGTCAGGAGTGTGGCTCTCTGTCCCCCGGCACAGCCATCTTGATCTTGGCCTTGCTTAGACCAGGAGAAACTTCCGAGTCAGCAGGATCCGGGAGGCTGACCCCCAAGCATCCGCAGCCCGGGTCCTCCTGGGGCTCAGGCACCGTGCACGTCGCAGCGGGTCGGTGGCCAGCAAGTGACAGCTCTGCCCCTGGCCAGGCTTTCAGTCCAGTGGCACCACGTCTCCCGTGACATCGGGATGTCAACTAGTCTATTGCCCGCACTTTCCGCTAATCTTTGTAATTATTTCTGAAGAAAGTGGAGCAGCAGTCTTTCCAGCCCAGCCCCGCCCTTGCCTCGAACAGACTCTCTCCGAGTTACATAAACCCTCAACAGGACCCTCCAGTTGGGACTGAGCTGGAGCTGCAGCCGCGGTACTTTCTGCCTCACAAACCCCCCTGCTAACGGAGTCGCCGGGGGGTTCTCACGCCCCCACACTCCACCCTCCCTCGGCCACAGCCCGTGGGGGCTTGCCACAGTCACCCCTGTGTCCAGAGTATTCGGGGGGGACAGAAGGTTCTCCTTTCAACAGACCCTCCCCATCAGTCCATTCCCCTCCCTCCCCTTAAATCCATATACAGTTCCTGATTTGGGTTCTTCCTTTTCAAATGATCCTACTCTTGAGTGGGGGGAGGGGGGAGCCGGTGAGATGCACGAGAGGCCCCAGGCAAGGCTCGTTAGCTTTCTCTGCCCTTAGCTCGTTGTACAGATGAGTTTCCATGGCTGGATGGGGACCAGCAGGCAGTCGAAAGGGAGCGAGGGGGAAGGAGAAAGAAAGAGGCTAATGCCAGAGGGCAGGCTGCCAAAGCAAAGTCATCCGATGATTAAATGCATCTAGTACCAGAGACACGTTTTGCTTTTTGAAATCCCAGCTCCATGCGATGAACAAGGACACGCCTAAGATATGACACAGAAAGCCAATCCTGAAAACAAAGGAATGAAAAAAGGTGCAAGGTGCGCCCCGACCAAAAAGAAAGCAGGCATTACAGTTTTAGAATCAGACAAAACAGGCTTGGAGACACAAAGCCACGTAAAGAATAGAGGTCACTGCTTTGTGGGAGGGGAAACTGCGCCGGGCTGGTGGGCTGCGCCTGTTCTTGTGCGCAATCTAAGTCTCAAGCTGGTTAAGGAAAATGGTCAGAGTTTCGAAGGAAATAAGACCAAACCGCCGTCATGGTGAAGGGTTAGGGCTCCCTGCTCCGGCACCGGGAAGGCAGATAAAAAGTTAACACAACGCACATCACAGTTTTGTGCAGAGCCCCAGCCAGGCGATGAAAAAAACCGACATTCTTTTCCAGCACGCGTGCGCACGCTTCCCAAAATTGATGAGTGCCGTGCTGCAGAGAAAAGTCACAATGCCCCCCAAATCAATACCACTCAGACCACATTCTGTGACCGCAATGTGACATAATTGAAAATCAATAACAGAAAAGATAGCCTAAATAATTGGTTAGTGGGCAGTGAAACCAATAAGGACCAGAAGATGAGCAGCGTAAGCTCCAAGGGAGGGATGCAAACCAGGTTACTAAGAAACCAGTGGACGAAGGGCATGCTCTTCTCTCGAGTCAGGGGCCCTTCACAGAATGGGTGGTACTTCATCAGGACCGGGGAGTGGGATGGTCCGCTTGCGTAGGTGGATGTGATGGAGGCAGGTAACACAGGGAAGAAAAGTCCAGGTGGGTCCCAAGGCGTTTTCAGGGCCAGTGGAGAGGTGAAGTCACCGAGATGGAGCCCGCATGGTGCTTTCTGGAAGGGAAGCCTGACGGCTAAAACAGCACATCACTCAGCAAGAGGTCGGCAGCTAGTGTGGGTTCTGACACGGAGAAATGAAATGACAAAACCCAAGAGGTGATTTGAACAGTGATCTGACTCTGAGGGAATAATTTGAGGGGAGGAGGTGGGTGGGCCCTTGTGAAGAGTTCAGCCCTGGAATGGATGCCTTAAGGGCTACCAGCAAGATAAGGATGTGGGACTGAAGAGAGACCTCAAGGAGGGGAGGGAGGAAGAAGAGGTTTGAATGTAGAACCGCCAGATGGTATCTGTCAGTGGATTTTGTTGTCGTGTAGAAGGGAGAAGGGGGAATTCAGGTTTGGGGCAACAGGGAGACATAGATAGTCACGTAGCTCTCTGGAAGGGCCTGACGGGAGAGAGGATGCATTGGCATGTACTTGGCAACAAAGTAGGTGCCTGGAGTCCACGTGGACCAAGCTAGCTGCTCTTCATTTAGAGTAGGGGTCTCAGCAAACTGTAGCCCTCGGGCCAGGTCCAGCCCAACACCGGGTTCTGGAAACGGTGTTTTCTTAGAACACAGCTAACACTCACTTGTTTACATATCGTCTGTAGCTCCTTATGTGCTTCAATAATTGAGGTGGGTAACTGCCTCAGAATCTCAAGGCCGAAAGCTGAGAATATATAGTAATCTGGCCCCTTTGCAGACCAAAGTATGCAGACCTCTAATTCAGCGGAAGACCATAATTTTAGTCCAGATCCATCATCAAATGATCTGACACCAGCTAACTTTTGTACGACCTCTTTCTGGTGGCCTGTTAATAATGCATCTAGAAGTCACAGATCTGCAGCCACCATGGGGAAAAAGAAAGGGATAGAGTAAAGACTCAAAGAAGACAGGGTCCTCAACTGAATTTCTCCGATCAGGAAAGACTGAGGCAGGACGCGGGCGTATAATTTGTGCAGGACTGCTGCCACCTAGTGTTCTGATGCTGTTACTTCACCTTTATGGCGCCTGCCTCCATGTCTTCCTTGGCTCCATTCACCTTCCTTCCTCACTGGCTCGCTGGTGTGGCACTCTTCATTCCAAATTCATT